TTAGTCCTGCTTTCCGCCTAGTTCAGTCAGTTAAGTCCAGAACGCCAATTTCAGCCTGTGTAATATGAATCATATACTTCAAACATACTCTGTTTATATACCAACCAAGCAGACCACAATGTACCAATAAAATATGAAACAACATTTGTACAAGAATTAGCCAGATGTGACTGTGAATGAAGGAGGTAGTAATTAATATACTGGGTATAACTCAAGAATGGTAAAACGTATAATAATAGTTTATGGGTCAAAATAAGGCTTATAATAATAGGGATATGAATATGAACAGTTTAGTTACATAACAATTATACGATAAAAATATACGTATAGTACTGGTCCATAAATAGATCTCAAAAGTTACCATTCATTATTCTTATCAGGGCATAACACCTTCACGTCGAAATTATTTACTTAAGCTGTACATTTGTATTTATATTTATTGTGCAAAATTTATGTGTTTAATTCATGAGTCAATTAAAGCTAGAACCACTGTTATGACCTTGGGGTCTGGTTTTCCTATCACACGAATTATCTACCAATCCGAATACGACTTATACGAATCTTCACACTAGGCCAATCAATGACTTTCAACCGGTGTGGGCAGTTTAGCGTCCTTATTGGTCCTATGTCCTCCGAGCCCTTCCACTTGAGTCCAGAACACGATATCAGCTTCCGTAATATGAATCGAATCAGAGCAGATCGTTTATTTCAGACATACTCGGTTTATATATCAATCAGACAGACCACAACGTACCATAAAATAGAAAATAACATGTGTACACAAATAAGCCAAAAAGTGGCTGTGAACGAGGGGGATAGTGAATAATAGACTGAGCATAACTTAAGAACCGTAAATCGTATAATAATAAATTATAGATCAAAATAAAGCTTGTAATAAGAGGAATATAAATATACATAATCTAATTATTCAATAGTTTTACAATAAGAATATTTATAGAATATTAGTCCATGAATAGTCCTTGGAAGGTACCTGTAATTTAATCTTCACTGGGTTATAACTACCACCATGGAAAACATGGAAGTATTGAACGGCCCGTTTCATCCTAGTATAGGATTACTCAGCAGTGATCTAGTTTTAATTGACTCATAAATTTCATTATTAAATTACTAAAATCTTCACAAAATCCCCCCTCTCACATTAAATATATGTCTATAGAAGAATAGAAAAGATTGCATCACAAATTGATCCGATACCCTTAATTATGAAATGAGGTTATGCAATAATCAAAGTGTAAGAGAAGTATAGAAGAATGAAAATAATTTACGGGTCTGAATTATGTAAGATAATTGTCCAATCGACAGAGTTGAAGAAAAACAACAAAAATAAAGGTCATAATAACAACTGATTGATCACTGAGTGGTGATCAATGTCATGAGTGTCAAGTACTTATTTAGTCCAAACCGAATGCCATCGAACATGTTGCGATGTGGCCACCTGTCTAGGTGACTCGACACTGCGGGCCCTATATATTGAGACTAGATGGTGGTTGGAAGTAGTCGACAGGAAACCCTGGACCCGAGTTTCGTGCTATTTGGCACTCGTCAGCAAGGTGTACCTGTAATCTTGAGGAAACTGGTGCTCCCTGACTGATTCGATCCCCTGTCACCCAGCTTCACAGTCGGAGACGTTACCATTGAGCTATCTGAGTCGCGACCGACCTCCTGTAGGACTGAGATGTAATCACAATTAATTGATCACTGGGTGGTGATTAATGTCATGTGTGTCAAGTCCTTATTTAGTGCAGATCAAATCCTATCGACCATGTTGCAATGTGGCCACCAGTCTAATTGCCTTGACACTGCGTGCACTATATATTGAGATTAGATGGTGGTTGGAGGTAGTCATAATAATAGTAATAACAAGTGGATAATAATCAAGTAAACTTGTTTAAAGGGCAACAACACTAACTGATTACAGTTGAAAATGACAAAATATTAATTAATATAATAAGTAAAAACGAAACTGGTGAATTGCCAATGTCTCAGCAATCAGTGTATAAGACTTTGATTCAACTTTCATTTTGATTCAATTCCTCTGACTGTGTAGATTATTTTCTTGTAGTGTGACTATGATCACCACTACAGCAAAACTACGTGCCAATTAACCGATAAGATCCCCAGTAGGCCGAATATCAGGAGGCAGTTCATGGCTGTAGTCGAGATTTATGTGTTGGCGATCTCGTGGTATTAAAATAATACCGAGATTGTGCCAAAGGAGTACAAGCGGAACTACTGAGCAAACGTAAGTTCGTGCAAGGTCACAATCAACGGAAGAATGAATGTCTTTTGTACAGTCAAACAAACAAGTACAGTAAAACAACCACTGGTACAATTTGTTATAATAATAATTGTTTCCATTAAACCAATCGCGTTCTCTTGATGAAAGTAGGTCACTACATTCTTTTGAAAGAAGACTCTGATGGAGTAATATGTTCAGGTGCTGTTCTGAGACGTGTTTGGTAAGTGATCACTTTTTACGATCAATGTAATCTGCCCTTTAAAACTATAATTGGGAATGTAGAACTTAAATAAATGATTTTGTTGAAATGAGAAAATATTCTTTGCTGAAGATTCAAAAAACAAACAATAGGAAGTGAATTCAAACTTTATCCCATTACATAAGTAACTGGCTATCAGGACTCAATAGCTAAGTAGATAACGCGATAGCATTTGAAGTGAATGGTACTGAATTCAAGTCCAAGAGTGAATATCAACAATCTGACGAGTCCCAAACTGGATTCCACTGCTAGCCACTATCCATCTTTGTTTATAATGCTTGGGAATTATGGCAATATCGAAGCAATACACACAGGATACACATATATCAGTAAGAGACTGGTCAATTACAGTTCTAAACATCAATTCAAACATCAGATTCAAACAAGCAAACAATACCAACTGAATTTACTGAATGACACAATGAGTTATTTTAATTATACAGTGTAAATCGGTGTAACAGCCAAAGAATTGAAATTAATAGGAATATTTGTACTAACAAATGTAATTAATTCTATACATTGCACTAGAAAATAATCAGCATACCTTGTTAACAGTCAAACATGACGTCTAATTCATTTCATCTATTTCAAAGGTACTATACATATTAACAAATAAAGAAATAAATGTTTTTACTCATTATTCTTAAAATGTTTACTGTTCAATTTTATGACCGAAAATTGTGACATCAAATCTTTCTTACTTACTTAATTGCACCTGTTACATCTCATGCAGAAGCATAGGCCGCTCACCAGCATTCATCATCCAACTCTATTCTGGGTAATCCTTTCCGTTTCGTCCTACTGTGGGACTCCTCAACAGAGCGCATCCACGGTCCAGCTCGCAGGATTCGAACCCAGGGCCTTCGGTCTCGCGAAACGGTCATCCAGTGCTTCAAGGCTTCCAAAGGTGGTCTAATATCAATCGGTTCATGATGTCAATCAAAAACTTAATAACCTCCACAACCCCTATACTAGTAATCCTTTCCGGTTGGTTACAGTTGCTATTCATCCTTTTCATGTCTGTTTTTAATTCTCAACGTAGTGTGTTGTTTGGTCTTCCGCTTTTTCGTCCCTATTCAGGATTACAAGTTAGTGCTTGTCTTTTGATGCAATTTAGTAATTTTCTTAATGTATGTCCTATCCATTTTCAACGTTTATTTTTTGTAATTCCTTCTTCAGCTGGAATCTGGTTTATCCGTTCTTACAGTAGTCTTTTCTCCATAGTGTCCGGTCAACAGACATTCAATATCTCACGGAGGTAATTGTTCATATATACTTGTATCTTCTTGATGATAGTTGTGATGGTAGTTCTCAAAGTTTCAGCTCCATACAATAGAACTAACTCTCTTCATGTTCATAATGAAGTTTCTCACTTTGATATTCATTGACAGATAGCTACTTATTATTATAACTGACAAATACAATATATCAATAACCTTAATTTTCTAATCATAAAATGTTTCTTTTTTCATTCATTCAATTGTGAACATCATTTCTTCATTGTTGTTCATTCTATTTCGATTTACTATAATAATAATAATAAACAGTAGGCTAAAGCAAATCATTGACTTGTATCATATTACCTGTAAAATGTAATCAAATTAATTAATAAATAATGAATTTTCCAGTTGAAAGAATCATTGACCCCCCTTCATCATCATCATCATCATCATCATCCATAGTTACTGATATTATGAGATAATGAAAAGAACAAAAAAATAGAGAAAAAAAGAGTAGAGAAAAAACACACACAAGAAAATAAAGAACAAACCGAAACATCTTCTTGTCATTCATTATCTTCTTTATGATTACAGAAATTATTATTCTGATCATTTTCTTTTCCAGACTCTTTTCTATTTTGTATAGACTATGGTTATTTCCTTTTTTCTTCTTTTTGTTTTTCTTGTTGCTGTTGTTGTTGTTTTTGTTTTCTTTCTCTATTCAAAACGAACCAATCAGAGTTTTGTTTAAATTTTATTAGTTTATCATTAATGAATTATTATTAAAAGGTTATCTTATTATTAATTATCATCTAATTGATACTACTAATAATACTACTAATATTACTACTAATAATAATACTACTACTACTACTACTACTACTACTACTAGTACAACTACTACTACTACTACTACTACTACTACTACTACTAATACTACTACTACTACTACTACTACTAGCACTACTACTCTTATTGTTGATGAAACGAGGAGTGATTTTATCAGTTTACATAATCCGTCTATTACATAGTAACAAAAATAAAACAAAACAATGTAGATAGACAGACAGACAGACAGACAGATGGACAGATAGAGAGACAGACAGACAGACAGACAGAAGTGAATTAAAATGTATCTGTTATATTCAAAGAGATAATATTCTATTCATATATTAGGAATAAATTGTTATATATGTATTGAATAAGATTATTATTGCTATTCATTATGTGGATCCTTTATCTGATATCATGGTATTTCAATATGATCAAATGTAATCAAGAAATAGAAATGAGAAAATTACGTTTACAAAGTTTAGATATTGGTAAGTATTAATTTATACGCTTTTAATAAAGTATATCAATCTTAAATTGGTATCAATTGGATATGTGCTGTTGATGTACTTATTTACTTATGCCCGTTACTCCTCGTCAAGGAGCATAGGTCACTGACCAGTATTTTCCATCCAATCATGTCCTGGGCAGCTATTGATGTTAATAAATATAAGTAGTATGTATCATTGATCGAAAATGAAATGTTTGGTGGAAAAAAGTTAAGAAGATTAAGGAAAAGTTAATGATTGGTGTGAAAATGAAGGAACAATCAAATCTGAGACAATTGATTAACATTTTGCAAACAAACAATTTACTGTGTGATTCATAGATTTCATGAAGAGATTATGTAATGTTGTGCTCAAATACATTCGAATGTCTCCAATTGTGTTCTCGTTCACTGCATCCATACCAAGGTTAGACTTGATAGTTTCAAATAAATTGTGTAATAGGTGGGGAGTTAATAATAAGTAGAAAATTTGTATTTTCGACGTTTCGTAACTTAATATAAGCTTATTCTTCAGAGTAAATTTCGATTATATATTTACTCTGATGAAGTGGATTACATTACGTCACAAAACATCAGAAATACAATTATTCTACTCATTGAGATACAACAAAAATATGTGTATTATCAATCCTGAACTGTTTCCTACACATGGTGAAACATGCTTAGATCAGTGCAAATATGGCATTGTTTCCTTCAACAAATGACTGAATGCTCACTGAAAACAAGTACTAGAAGATGAATGAATATGCATCGACACTTTTTTTAATCAGTATAAGATTGTGGAGATTGTTGAGTTTTGATTGAGAAGATGAAACGATCAACACTATATCGCCATTGAAAACCTTGAAGTACTGGACGACCATTTTATTCTAGCATAGGACTCCTCATCCTTGCGCATCCACAATTCCACACGTGGCATTTGACCCCAGGATCGTGGGTTCGGAGTCCCATAATAGGACAAAACGGTCATCCATTACTTCGAGGTTTTCACTAGTTGTGTCAAATTGATCAATTCATGATCTCAATTAAAATTCTTTTCGCGTATTAATGATATGAAATCAAAGTAGAAAAATGTCTTTTTGACAGGTCTGAAATTAGTACCTTCTTTATCCATAAATATAAATAGTTTCAGATGAGTTGTCTTGAAAAAGAAGAATAAAACTTTGATTTATTGAAATGTTCTATTTGATTAGTAGAATATCTCACTGAAACTGATGAATATTACGATAATGAGTGATTTTGTACAATGTTCAGAATCAAACTATGTAACATCACTTGGTTAAAATGTCATCCATATGCATTATGCTGTAGTGTCGGTTATTATGTTAAGCCCATATACCTTATTCTAGGTTTCGGACAGCCCATTCTATTCATTCTACTTGAGTCACATTCTGACCTTGTTAATTTATTCGCTTATCAATCTTGACTAATTTTATATCAGCGCGTAGATGTGTGTACATTTCTTATCCCATTACTCATCGCATGGCTGTAACTTATTTTTGTGTGACTATAAATATTGATTAACGCTTGACTAAAGCGGAGTTGGCTTACCAGCCATCTCCACTCCGTGTCGTTCATCTTCTCTCTATTTCATTCACTTTATATACAAAATATATGTATTCAAAAGTCTATTCTCGTTATTTGACTTATTTAATTCCGTTATTGACTAACGTGATTTAAGTCGATGATCATATACGAGGATAGGCGATAACATTCATACGATCTAATTGGATTCAGATCCACGGGCCACTAAAATGCTTCATAAAACTACAAAGGTGGATTGATCAGTAATAAGTTAGTTTCAAGTTACTTTGTACATCTTGGATTAATTGATGACATGCATTTATTTAACAATGTTTAGTACACTATCAACTGTTAAATCAACCACATGAGGGAATCCTAAACTGGACCGGTCCAAATCTGAATTTGTAAAACTGCCTTGATGTCATTCAATAGACAAAGTTTGTAGCATTAACTTTGTATCAGTTTTTGATGGGAATGATTCATTAAAGGAACATGAGTAAAGCTTTTTATTTACCTTTGACTCAGTCATAAGGTGTAACATTTTAAAAATTTATGACCGTTCAGGGTTGATTGTTATTATTATTAGCGGTTTTATTCAGCATTATATTCTTGATACAATATAGAATTCTCAGTACAAAGTATTTCTACAAGTTTCCGTTTCTTAGTTCTTGATCGATCCTGGTCACCAGTCCAGAATCAACATTTGAATGATGTACATTCTTTTCACTGAACATTACCATGATGTCACTGACTGGGCTTTCCTTCCAAACTTGTACAACAAAAGGTTGTACACTTTTCATAAACTCACTTGAATAGATTATATGATTAATAGCCATGTTAATGTATTAAAACAAACAAATAAACAGATCACTTGTTGAAATACTTAAATGACAAGAACAGGTAGTGTAGTGAGCAGAACACCGGTGGGGGCAATCGAATGTAACCATATAACAAATCGGTAATTTGCAAATGATCAAACCATCATATCAACCTGGACTGTTCCTGTTGCAAACATCAATTCATTGTTCATGCGTTTTCGTACAAATTGCATTGTGTTTCTGCTCTTCTTTTCTTGATCTTCCCCCATCTTATGCTGTTAGACATTATGCTTTAAACTTGTGTCATATACTACTTACATCAATATAAGTAGTACACACCACAGTAGCCCAAATATTCAAATAAGTCACCAAGTTCCAGTCAACTATCATATAGAATACATATTAACAGAAACATTTAATTAATCCCATTCAATAGTTGATAGGGAATCACAATCTCTATACAATTATTATCAATCTATTGTGATATATTTATGCTTCTGTGATAAATGATTGAAGTTTATACTATTTAGAATTGTTATACACTTACTTATTCAGAACAACAAAGTAATCAGCATCATCATCATCATCATCATCAGCAGCAGCATCATCATCATCAACAACAGCAACAACAACAACAAGCAAACAAACACAATTATATTGAACTAATTAGATTGAAGTGTGTTTACATTTTTATTTATTTACTTATAAGTAGTATATAAATTATTGTAAATAGTTTAAATACTCATGAGTGGTAGATATCACAATTTAATATTGATTAAATAATACCATTGAAAATTTAATCTTTCACAATGAATCCATCATACCATTTGTAATCATGATAGAATAAATGATCTATATATAACTAATTGTTAGTTATCAACTACCATAGCATTGAATCATCTACGTTGTTCAACTGCTTTGTGGATTAGGCCTTTAGGTCGAAGGTTAGGAGTGTAGCTCCCTTAAGAAAACTACTTGATTCAAGTTAAGCAACCGAATAGTATCATAGCCTACATATAAATCAAATGACTTGTGTGGTGTATGTATTCTATCGGTGTTATTATGCAATCTGGTTTGTTTGTAATATAAATCTAGTATGTCTGAATGATATGATTGATATTGCAAAGACTGACATTGTCGTTCTGAATTGAACTGGTTGGATTAGGAGAGGATCAATAAGAACTTTAGGTTGTTTGTACAGATTTCTACGTTATTAGTTTGGTTATATAAGTCGATAGCTGTAATTGGCAGTCTATCTATTTGTTTAAAATGACATAAAACAGTATTAAAATCTTCAACTTTGGTATATCATTATCAATTTAAGGATGTTTGAGTAAATCCTTCATTTAAATAGAATATTAAAATATTATGATTTTTAGGGCGACATGTGAGTAGCAACCTTCAAAATGTGACGTACAAACTTAATGTAGACTGTTTCTAGGGTATATTAGAATAAAATAAATAGTTAAAAAATGTGTTTCAAAACTAAACTTATCAACAAACAATATATGTTTTGTGTTAATATGGATAGAGGCTAGTAGTGGAATCTAGCCTGTGAATTTCGTCCTATTTGGGACTCTTCAGGTGGATGTACCTGTACTTCAAAGTTGATGTTCACGTCGGGACTCGAAACTTGAACCATTTGCTTCAAAAGCCATCATGTTATTCACATAGCTACTGAGAAGTGATAGCTGCCTCCATTCGAAGCGAATGATACTGGGTTCGAGTACCAGAGTGAACATCAACTCTGCGATGCAAGTACATCCAGCTCAAGAGTTCTAAACAGAAGGAAACGCGCATCCTGTATTCCACTGCTAGTCACTATCTATCTGTGCTTAAAAAGCTTGTGACTTGAAGCTATATCAAGGCAATCAGCACATGATGCACTTATGACAACATGAGACTGTTCAACGTACGTACTTACTTACGCCTGTTACTCCCAATGGAGCATAGGCCGCTGACCAGCATTCTCCAACCCACTCTGTCCTAGGCCTTCTTTTCTAGTTCCATCCAATTCTTGTTCATTTTTCTTATGTCTATCTCCATTTCCCGACGTAATGTGTTCTTTGGTCTTCCTCTTCTCCTTTGGCCTTGAGTATTCTATGTGAGGGCCTGGCTTGTGACCCAGTTGGGTGTCCTATCCACTTCCAGCGCTTCTTCCTGATTTCTTCCTCCGCTGGAATCTGGTTCGTTGTGTCCCACAGTAAGTTGTTGTTGGTAGTGTCTGACCAACAGACCCGAAGTATTTTGCGTAGACAACTCTTAATAAACACTTGTACTTAAAGATATAGAGCCTTTTCATTGAGAACAAAATACGTCTAGAGGGACTTTTGTGAAATATAGTAAATATCAAAAAAGTACATACTTTACAATAAGTCACTGAATGATAGAATCATATAAAATAATAAAATTTCATAATAGAATGTATCATTTCAATACAGTGGTTAATCATTTCTTAATGTATTGAAATGAAACTTCAATTCATTTGATTTAATGTTTGCAATGTAGATATATTCAGTCACTGAAAAGTGGACTGAGCCATGTTGGTCGGTGTAGACTATCTGGTTGGGGACCGCGAGATGATAGCAACCGATGGTTAGAGACCGTGAATGACATGGCTCAAAATCGTTTGCAATGGCAC